GAAAGGGGTGCTGTTGTGGCAGAGATAGCGGAAAAGATTGGTCCAGGACAAAGAAGTCGTGCAATGGACAGCGTTGATGTATTCAAGGGACGGCCAATCTGTTAAGGAAGCTTAGTGATCCTGAAGCAGACCTGATCTATATGGTTGTGGCTTCATTGTAGATAATTATAGTTGTAGGTGGCAAAGGTGGGACACCATGCGCCAGTTTTACTGATTACTAGCATGGCATTCTCCAACTGCCATGTTTGGGAAACATGCACAGTGTCACTTCCATGATGTTTCGTCTCTTGTTTTGGCGTCCGAAGTCAGCATGGGACCGGTCTGAGCCGTGGCACCGTGGCACCGTGACGCGTACGACGCGTACGACGCGGCTTGTGAGCGTTGTGGTTATAGTGTAGCAATTTGAGCGTTCTGTGAACGGTGTTTGGGGAACAGTCTTTAAGTCGCCACTTAGTTACTTGGTCTTGGGTTTGTAACAATGTGTAACATGTTCCGTTGAAAATCAACAGTGACACGACAGCACACTCCCTCAAAAAGCACTCCCTCCCACAAAAACTGTCAGAATGTTGTGAGGAAAGCCAGGAACGCATCGGGAAATGGGAACACCGTTGTTCCTCTTGGTTTCAGAGCGCTGCTGGAACATCAGAGCGCTGTGGTTATCCGGACTGAGCGGCGGCGTCATCGACGCCTCGACGATATCCCGGGGCGGTTTCACCCGAGGCATTGAAGCAGCTGAGCAGCGAGATCGATCCGGAGGAAGGCTCAGGACTGGGCGAAGTCCAGATGATTTTTGGATGTGTTGGGGTTTCATTGGTGTGCGTGCTGGCCACTCAAGGATCTATTCCACGATTTCCATGTGATGCTTTGTCAATCCATCATGCACGGAGGCCTGTGTGATTGGCACATGCCCCCGCCTGCCATGACTCCACTTCGGTAGAAAAGGATGATGAAGGCACTGGATGCAAGAAAGCAGTGCCTGAACAAGCTGCTAGTAGTACAAGATGCCAGGACCAGGGGGATCATCAGTAAGAGTACAATTAAGCCCTTGCTTGCTGCCAGTCATTGTACGGTACTTTGAGTGACCTAGTTTCATCGTTTTGCTACTGCAACTAGCCAGGCTTGGACTACTATCCTTTGCCATCTCGAGGGCAGCAATGGCCTCAGAGCCACGGGGAAGAATACAACATTCCCCCGGCCCGACGCGGCCCAGCGTTTTGCCAACCAGCCTACCAAGTACTGTATATGAATCAAGTTACACACTTCAAACATGGTGAAAGTGGGTGGACTATGTGTTATATATTTACAGCCTTCGGCATGCCGCCGGCCACCAGCTCGAGCCCGCATTGGCAGGCAGCTTAATGATACAATACCCTGCTCAATCATACTTGTTGGTGCATTGGAGGTGCACATTTGGCTGGGTGAGTTTGTTGATGTTTATTTCAAGGTTGTTTGACCATGAAATGGAACGAATCCGAATCAGAGGTTGTCTATTCTGATCCAGCGATC